CTTCGTGTTACACACTTGTGCAGTCAGTGTTGTGCTCTGACTATCTGCGCGGCACATGTACTAACACTGGCCTGTCTGGCTTACGTCCTCGTTGCTAGCTCATTCTCATCGGCGCTGTATGGTCTATACAGTTTTGGTGTCTGTGTCTATTTGCTCCTCGTAGTCGATGTGGTCACTGATTTCTAGATCTCAAAACTGCTCTGATCACCATTCCCCTACCCCCCCCCCAGTGTTCGATCTCACCCTTTTCTACCCCTGTCCACTTCGTGGGTGTGCTGCATTTCTCTACTTTTTGTGACTTGGATCCGACANCGACACACAAATACATATCTGTGCTTTATGCAATATTCGTTAATTTCTTCATCCCGTTCGTGATATATTGTGCCTGTTTCACTGTCTGTAAATGATTCAAACATACACACAAGGCTGTACCCTTTTTTAGTCAACCGTTTTATATATAAATATGTGTGTTATCAGGTCAAGAACTATGTACGCAAAAACCACCAAACGCAGCTGGTCTGTCTTGTTTCACGTGGTCAGAATCGGTAAGAACTATCTCCTTGGGTTGATATTTAACACAAGGACATTGACAAGATCGATCTTTTACCCGGTTCTTCTAGGCACTCTGCGTAGTTGAAAAAACCCACGCGGACTCAGTATGGGTCAACACCTATTATGTTACATGTGTTGTTTGTCAGAAACGTTTTATGAGACCGCGTGGCAAACTACGGGAGCTCTTTAATCATGAAAAACTGTGTATTCCGGGTCTTACAGGTGTGCTTTGGTTTGTAATTATTCCAATGTTCAAAGCTCCTGTAGGATACTCAAGTGATGCCACATTATGTACGTTCTCCACAACAGTATCCTACTGACATCTTAACACCCATCTGAAGTTGTGCATCTTTAGCATGCAATTGTTGCTCTCCCAGAAAAACTGCATGACGGCAGGTTTTCTTATTGTCCGTCATTGTGTCACTCCTTCTATGCCTCGCCTTAAGAAGAGGCACTACATTTTGCATCTTGCTTTATCACCTAGTTAGCTCTTACCTTGCGTCTTCGTGCACTACTGCTATCTCACTTGGTATATCCGACTCAGTTTGGTCCCTTAGTGCCCACAACTGACGCTCCCTGTTTACCGGGAATGGACCGAACTCGGATCGTGCACCGTTTCGACGGAGTCAAACATTCAAAGTATCCAATCAAACTGATAACCGCTATGTAAACCAAGACGCTGTGGATGTTTGTACGCCTCTTGGTTGGTTTCAAATCCGGATTTTTAGCCACCTCCCGTAGGTAAACTGTTTGTGATTCATCTACTAGGTTATGGCCTTGGATGTTCCCTGTTTTTTTCTTCATTGTGGTGGGCAAATCTCCGCAAAGTGAAGGCAGTGAGTAGACCTTTATAGGCAGAGCCAATTCGGGACGCTTAGTCGTATTCAACGAATTCTTTCAGGCTACTCGAACTGAAGATAGTAAATGTTTGATTGCGGAGCAGCAACCTCAATAAAACGCAGGGTTACTTATGCACAGAGGTATTTGTCAACCGTAAGTGCTACGAATCAACTAACTCGCGTCTGCATTGGTCCCGTTCTCTTTTCTGGCAATCTAAGAACCGCAGAATTTACAATAATCAACACGTTCAATCATCTGCCACGATCTTCTCCCACCATTTACATTTAATTGGACAAAAAACACTGAAAGAACAACACAATTGTCATTGTTAGGCCGCCTCGCATTAGTGAATTTTGGAAATGCCTTATGGTTGATCTTTTGTTCCTGTTTTAAGCGGCCCATTGTGTTTCTGTATCGGTGGTGGTGGCACAATGGTTTAGTCGCTGTCTCCGGTGTGCTTTGGACCCTGTGGTTCGAGGTTCGAATCCCATCACCCAACTTTGGTGATAGGCAACCTAACTGTCGTCCGGTTCGATACCACGCCTGACCTATCAAGACCTTATGTAGTTCTGGAACTGCTAATCGAAATTCTACCGAATCTCTTTGTTACCATTTTCATCAAACTTTAACCGTCAGACTAGATGATAACATGGAACTCTAAAATGTTTTTCCGGGTCACAATGAGCGCCTCATTTTTCATATATGTAGTGTTCTCTTGTAGTTAGAGTTGTTTCCTGTCTGAAATCAGTCTGTGCATATTCCACATGATTGTACAACGCTGCGACGGCCTTCCTCGGTCTATTTGGCTTCGAATACGCTGAAGCCTTTTGTATCTTCTGCATCGCTCATAGCTCTTGACTTTTTGAAAAATAAACCAACAGTTCAGTGCGGTTTTTGTTCTTTGCCAAATATATGCACCCGTAAAAAAGCAATGAAATTCTCCTATTGTTACACTAATAATGTTCTTACCGAAAATCACTATCTGACTCCTGATTGGGGATTGATTTTAATGCTTGTGCACAAAGCCAAATAAACTTAACGATTTGTTCAACATAAAATAACCAAAAATCACACTAACGTATGAAAACCTCATGCTAACTTCCGACGTTTTGTCTGTTTTGCACTCTGTTTTACCACTCGTTCGCGTACGCCAATGTGAGACGTTGATACGATGTACCCTAAACCGAGCAAACAAAATAGTCTAACCCACACCTACATTAGCGGAATCTCATGTGATTCGCCAATCCAAGTACCGGGGATGCCGGCTTCCATCACTGGATAACAGTTCTTTGTGACTGTTGGGCTTAGCTGGTCTTTTGTTCATCACACAGATATGCACGATAAAACAAGGACGATAATGTAGTGGATGCAGCGTGTCCTGCTTATCGAACCGTACTCTACTTGTATAGATCCTTCACGTTCACGGCGCGCAAGATACCCCATCGATTATGTGACCGAATATACCTGAATGTCGGGGTCAGTTCAGATACATCATTATCGGTGGTTTGAAATCAGTTTTTATCAAATTCCCTAGGCAATCTAGCTGCCAGTACATCTTTCGTTCCTCAAGTGACATTTGTCTCAGCTCAAAAACACTCAATGGAACTCCGGTGACGGTTGGGAACTTGTGATATAACGGAGTATTTCGACTTGCTCTGGCCGACGAAATCCGCTGAATATTGCACCCACACCTGACGGTGCTTGAGCGTTTGGATGCTTGTTAATCATGCTTCTGTTCCAAGGCGATAACTCAGTAAAGACGTAATCAAATTTTTCAAACGTGAATTCATCGTGTTTATAGCAAGTGAAGCGTGAACTGAAAAGCCAGGAAGCACTTGACAGCTGTTTCGACCTGGTTAGGTCTCATCAGCAGTGCGAATCCATCCACCCAACTGGGGATCGAACCCGTACCTCACAGGCAGAACGCAAGCATGCTATCCACTTGGCCACCGGGCAGCTGATCAGACCGTTTTTCATTTTCCAATAAATTTTTGTTTGTATGATGAATTCGTCATGTAAGTGAGGTGTGAGCTGAAAAACTGGGGAGCACTGGACAGCTGTTTTGACCTGGTTAGGTCTCATCAGCAGTGCGAATCCATCGAACCCTGCACCTCACAGGTAGAACTACTCACTCGGCGACCGGGTAGTTGATCAGACCGTTTCTCATTTTAATTATACACGATATCGCAAGACTCATTTCCACGATGAATCCATCAGATAAGCAAATCAAATCCCTAGTTACTCTCATATAAGAAACACAATTGTGAGTTTCCAACCGACTCATAACCCTGAAGACTAGTGCTGATATTTAATTTTTCTTAGAACGATCCTAGTCTGATTGAGACGAGAAACCTGATCCATCTCTAGACGCAGAAATAGCATTTCTCGTTAAAATCCTGATTTTTTTAGTGGGTGTGTCCGGGAAAAATGTGAAATAGTAGGTCTGAGAGCCGCTTATTTGCCTGATTATTTAAGGAAGTAGTAATTCATGAAGAAGTGAAGTCGGAAGTCTAAGTCGTGTGATCTTGCTCCAGCAGTAAACTATACGCACTGGAGCAAAATAATTGACAGAGTACCATTAAGTGGTTAGTCCGGTGAATAGGAGTACGGACGTAGACATCGTGTTTTACAACGGGGATTGTTTTGATGCAACCATAAAACAACAAACAGCGTCATGTATAAAGTACCAATACACAGTTGCTCAAATATCACAAATGGGTAGTGTGCTCCCTGTGCCCGTTCCTGAACGGAAACTTCCACTGATTCACAACGACAGTCTCTCTAACAACAGATTATGAGTAGCAAATATTCGACGAATAATAAACCTGCGTTCTATTTTCACTGCAGTTTTCCAAGCACTTACCCAACAACAGAACACATCTGATTGTTCTCTTTTATTATCAACGTTACCATTCGAAAACAGAATATTCACAATCTATTGTTCACATTATCGTTGGTAATCACCTCCCATACCCGGTTTGCATGGCTCAAATATATTTCGTACAGATGTTCTAACCAATGTTATCTGGTCTAACATATTTTTTGCCTTTGCATCGAATTCAGACTAGTAGACCGCTGGCTAGGGCACGTATTGTGTATGTTCAGCCACCGTCCACCACATCGCGCCTTATTTGCTGTAGCCGCTTCGAGATGACGGGAGCCACGTGGAGGTTCATAGGTGACAAGGAGGCGATGCATGAAGAAATGCAGAGAGCCATTCGGTAGAGTAGGTGTCTCGCGCCTTCCCTGTTGGATCTGAAAGACTCCGTGACTGGTTGGTTGGAGACATTGAAGGATATGGCAAAGAACCGACAGCAATTACATTCTTGTTCTCATTTCTTATCAGACCAGAATGCTTGAAGCGGTATGTATACAGAGTTCGATTGTTCTGTTGACTATAGAGGTTCACTCCCCCCTCCCCCCTTCAAAGTAGGTCCAATCCCTGTCCACCTTAAATTTTACCACTAATCTTGACAGCGATCAGTGAAGTTCACCTCACTGTTTTCCGCTGTACGACGGTGATGATGATGGGGCGGATTATTTCACATCTCTCAGTATGTGAAACAGTTCAGCGGATTTCGTTTGTTCATCGATCTATTAACATCAAGTTGATTCAACCTTTCACTCACCACGCTTTGAAAGCGCTATGTTCAGTTCCTTTTACCATGATCGTAATTATCAGTAATGCACAAGACGAACCCTTTCCAGTTGCAGATCTCGGGAGTAAAAATAAGTAAATACAACGTTTAATCATTCTACCACGGTGATTTCAGCACAACAGTCAAGTCGTACCTTTGGGCGAATGATTCAACTTGCGTCGGATGTTGGATATCAATCCGTTTTCTTGACCCGATTCAGAAATTATTGATTCTTGTCCCGAAATCTTGCTACGTCTGAGAAGCCTCTAAAGCAGTATTTCTCTTCACGTTTCCCTTGTTCTCTCTAAATACTGATATGTGATGAACAAACGAAAGAGTGGGCCTCATTGTCCCGATGATCTACTCCCCGATCATAGGAACCGGCCATCCAAACCCCGAGACTTGGAGAAGTGTACTAGACAAAGTCGCAATAGAATAGACAAGGCATTGAGTCTGACGACAGTGAAGCTGACTGACATCGCAATTAGGTGGTGATATTCTTAGCCTGTATTTTACTTGTGCCAAGGCCCCTGTTCGCTTGATCATCACCCCTTGTGTGTCTGTGTTTGCTTGGTGAATCAATTTGTTCGTACTTTTAATTACTCCGTTCCTACTTAACTCCGAACTGCTCAATGTACTTTTGTTTTTTATTCCCTAACGCTGCAGTAATGTCAACCCAAACATTTGGTTGACTTAGCGGCGTGAAACGTTTTGAGGTATAAATAACTCATACCTGCTTTCATCAGTTTCATACACAGTTTCAGTCAGCTTATACGTATTGCGCTGAGTACTGACTTTTTCGCAACTATGTTCTGTTAAGACATAAGTCAGCATCATGGATATCGCAAATCAACTGCGACGGCTTGACGTCAGCTTGGTGTAAACTGCGACCGAAGTCCTAGGTACACTACTTCTTTATCGACAACATTAATCCTCATTTTGAACTGTCCTCTGAGATGACAACGCCATTCAAACCTGGAATTAGGTATGGGTGTTTGATTGATGGGTTCCATCTCGGATCAACTTAGGACATGACTGGACGGTTGCTATTCGCCGCTTTGGAGGATCACACTTCATTTTCTCTTATTTTACTTCCTTTTTGCAATATATAATGATACAATTTTCAGGAATGGGAAACAGTCAATTACAGGGCTGCTGTAAAACACAAGAAATGGGTGAAGTCAGGACAGATAATCTGTCACCTTACTTCGTTATGCAACACTTTCGCGCTAGTTAATTCTTAGGATTCGACGTAGGCAATAGTGATCGATTACGTCTAATGTTTTGAGATGCAACATGAACGTTGGATTCACTAGACGTGTGTATATTCCTGTTGATTAACCGTTCAGCATCACTTACATCGCCACAACTTGACCGTATGTATTCATAATCATATGCTCACATACGATCTTCAACTGTGATTCCTGTATCCCGTGAAATATTTTGAAATATATTGTTTCGCGTCATTTCATCACCAAAAGAAATATTTTTTTATCGCCTTTCAGTCGGCCTGATCACTGAGTCTTTTGAATGGATCGTTTTTTGGGTCATGTCAGTCGGGCTGTTCCGTTGCCCCCGGGATTCCGCTTGACTGTCGCGTCAATCAGCCGACCGTTCAGTGAACACCTGACCTATTTTGGGACCAAGGGTGGTGGTCTGTTGTTGTGGTCAGCCTCCGCTATGACACCGGACACAGTTCGTTCGGTGTCTAATCCGACTGACAGCACCGGTTGTATTTGGACAGATTGGACCCGATTCCATCCGGAAGAGTTCTCTTTACATCCCATCTTGAATCGAATTCGATCGTGGTGGGCACATTTACATTTCCCGCCTGGTCAGCCTTCATCCGATGCAACTAAATATGCCTGGTCAAATATCGATCTTCTCAATTCACGCGGTGATTATGTGGAGCGAAAGATAGACTATGTGGTAAGTGATGATTGAAAGGGTGAATTGTCCTCCTACTGATATTCAGAACCACCATTCCAGCCTGATAATTCAACGGGATAATCTAACCAGCTCAATAAGAGCATCAATGAAATAGAAAGGGAGGGGGGGTATGAAATTGAGGAGAATAGCAATGTTTTTTTTGTTTCGCGGTATATATTTTGATGTTTTTTGTTTATTATGTGGAACAGGGTTTCAAGAAGCAACCCGTACAGTATTCGCGAGAGTGAACAGCACCAACCGAGGCTTACTTCTGCATACGTCCATGCCAGGTCATTGGCGGACTTCTTGGCTAGCCCTGTTCAGCATTTGCAGCAAAAGTCAGGATAGGTAGACGATGGGTAAGCATACGCCAAAGAGAAACTGTCAGCAATTAACATGGTGACGAACCTCTGGATTGCTCACCTGATGTTCTCATCGGACTGGAGCACTGATTCGAGTAAATCGGCGATCGAATACAGAAATATGATTGATTCCTTTAGTTCTTTTAGTCCACCTCCAGAAGTCGTAAAGCGAACCGCAGCAATTTACACCTTTTGTGTGTTTTATTCCTCATTTCTCGAGCGCGTAGATTAAAGAAAAACGGCAGTCTAATCTAAAGAACAAAACTACCCGGTCAATACTTAACCAAATGAAACAAAAGCTTGCTATTGCCGAGAAATTTTGTGCGAAATTGACGACTCCGCTAATCAGGTTGTATTAATTATAGCTCTTTATTGTTCATTTGGCGATTTTTTTTCTCAGACATTTTTGTTGTTCGGTGTGTTGTTTAGTTTCATTTTATTTCTTTGTCTTGCTTTCATGACCTCATCTATGGTAACTTTTTTTGTGTGGATGCACGCACGGTGTAAGTCATCATCCAGTTTGTGTTGACTTCCCTGCCGAACCTCTGCTATTGTTATTTTGATTTGGCTGAACTTGGACAGTGCTGCTTGCCAGCAGTTCATTCAGATTATCAACTTATATACCGAGTTTGAGGCAATGATTGGGCTGAAACTTGATCACATACCGGAAAGCTTTATGGCTGTGCTGTTTGCGGGGCTCGGCACCACCGTCTCTTCCTCCACCCCTGCTTTCCGGTGCATATTTATGAACCAGTAAAACGTGACGGGTCATACAGATTCCTTAGGTATGAAGTCGTTCAGATCACTTTCCGGTTGCTGTGTCATTAGCGGATTAGATGAACCGATAATCGCATATGAATACCGAATATCAACAACGATGAAATGCGGGTGGCTTGACCGATTGTATGTTTGTGTCTATCGATAGGCGCTTGCATGATGCTTCATTTGCTGGGTGCACATGTTTACCGGCTAACTGGCTGGTTGACTCGATCATGATGAAGGTAAATACTATCGAACTGCGGTAGCATCAGTCACGCG